ATCTACTTTCTGTCTATAGTTTCGCCTATTCTGGACATTTCACATAAATGGAATCATGTGATATGTGTGGTCTTTTGTGTCTGGTTGTTTTTATTTAGCATGATGTTTTCTAAGTTCATCCATGTTATCGCATGAATTAGTACTTCATGCCTTTTTATTGCCAAACAGTATTCCATTGTATGGATAGACCAAGTTTTGTTTGTCCATTCATTAGTTGACAGACACTTGGGTTGTTTTTACTTTTTAGCTATTATGAGTAGTGATATTTTGGACATTTGTGTATAAATGTTTATATGGGCTTATGTTTTCTGTAGGTTATATATCTAGGAGTAGACTTGCAGGGTCATATGTTAACTCTATGTTTAACCCTTTGAAGAACTGCCAAACTGTTTTCCATAGTGGCTGTACCATTTTATTTTTCACTAGTAGTGTATACAGTTTTCTCCACATCTTTGCTAACACTTGTTATGTGTGTTTTTTTATAGTCGTCCTAGTGGGTGGGAAGTGATATCCCCTTGTGATTTGGATTTACATTTCCCTGTTGATTAATGATGTTTAGCATCTTTTCATGTACTTATTGGCCATTCGTGTGTCTTCTTTGGAGAAATGTTTCTTAGATCCTCTGTTTATTTATTTTTGAGTTGGAGGAGGTCTCACTCTGTCACCCAGGTTAGAGTGCAGTGGCACAGTCACGGCTCACCACAGTCTCGACCTTCTGGGCTCAGGTGATCTTCTTATCTCAGCCTCCTGAGTAGCTGGGACCACAGGCACACACCACCACACCTGGCTAGTTTTAAAATTTTTCTGTAGAGACAAGGTCTCGCTATGTTGTCCAGGCTGGGCTCAAACTCCTGGGCTCAAGCAATCCTCCTGCCTTGGTCTCTCTAAGTGCTGGGATTACAGACATGATTTACTGTGCCCAGCCTTTAGATCCTTAATTTTTAAATTGTCTTTTTTGTTTATTTGTTTGTTTTGAGATGACGTCTCTCTGTGTTGCTCCAGCTGGTCTAAAACTCCTAGTCTCAAGTGATCCTTCTGCCTTAGCCTCCCAAGTAGCTGGGAACCACTAGCTTTTAAAATCTTTTTATGAGCTGGGATCGGTGCCCAGCTTTTAAAATCTTTTTATGAGCTGGGATCGGTGGCT